GCCCCTCCCCCACGCCAGCCTCCCAGACACTCCTTAGAATACATCAGTGCCCTGCCATAGCAGCTGGAGGTGACCTAATTAAACCTGGTTCTTTCCCTCTCACAGCATGGGGGGAGGGGGCTGCACCAGCCAATACTTGAGTTTGAGACCCTTTCAGTCTCATCCTTGCCACATGCCCATGCTGCCTGGGGGCTGCTATGAATAAGGCCTTTGGGCATCCTTGGCATTAGTGAGGGGCGGGGATGCCAGGATGGGCCCCTCGAGAGCCATGTTCACATCCCCACTCTGCAGGCTGTGTGACCCTAGGCAAGTCACTCTCCCACTCTGAACCCCCCTAGAGAGAGGAACAGACTGGTTAGAGTAACATGGAAAGTGGCTGAGCTTAAACTCCAATCAGCATGACCCCAAAGCCCTTGACCTTTCCAGCGCACCATGCCACTCGTCCTGGTGACCATCATTTCACTGGCTTAGGGGCAGAGGAAAAGCCTCCACTGCTTTTTTCTCCCCACTTGCTGCTCTGCATGGACAAAGGTCCTAACTGCCTCAAGCCCCCTTTCCACCAGGCTCTGGATCCATCCTGGTCATGATCTGTGTGACCAGTGAACGTGACCAGCTCAGCCAGGCCCTGAGCGCCCTCTGCTGGTGCCACTCTTGGGGATTTACCTCCAGACCAGCCTTCAGGTATCCCTTCCCCTCCCACCAGCTGGGTGGGACTCCCCACAGTGTCCCTTACAGAGCTCTCCTCCATGGCCAGTGGGCATCTGTGAACATTGCCCACCTGTCTCTCTGCAGGCCTGCCAGAGGCCTCTGTGGTCAAGACTGTCCTCTGGCCTCTCCTAGGCCAGTGTGCAGCCATCTCCTGCTTACATCTGTCCTGTTTTTTTTTTGGTGGTCAGACAGATCCAGAGGGGCGGGGCAGGTAAGGGAACATAGATGTTTCAGGAAAATACTTCAAGGAAATGGTAGGGGGGAGGCTGAAAGGAGGAAACATCCAGAATGCGGAGGACCCAGAGGCCTCCTGGATGGAGCAGCCCCTTCCCAGGGAAAGGCCTCTACTGGAGCACATCCAGGCTCCCAGAGGCTGCCCCCCTCCCGGTGCACTTCCACCTCCCCTCCCCTCTCCCAGCGGATGCAGCAGTTCACACTGTATTTATCATTGCTCTCCCTCTGCATCCCCTCCCCTCTCCCTGGGAAGAGCCTGCAGGCTGGCAGCTTGGCAGGAACCTGCTGTCTCCCTGTGGGTGCCAGCATCATCATGCCTTATCTCCGCCTGGACTCCTTGTGCCAGAGTCAGGCCACTCAGGGACTTGGCGCCAGCCAAGACTGCCCAGTCCCTGGGGCCCAGAAGCCCCTAGCTTATCACCCCTGCCCTCCAGGGTTGCACCCCAGCAAGGGTGGAGGTCAGAGCCAGACGCAGCAGGGGAGAGAAGTGGTCTCAGAAGAGGCAAAAGCTACGGGCGGGGTGGCTCCAAGGTGAGCAATAGCGTAGAGCCACCTCTTGAAGCCAATTAACACCATTATCCCCATCACATTGGGAAGAAACAGGATAAGACAGCTGCTCCCGGTCCCACTGTGTGCTCCAGGCGGACTCCCCAGCCCCAGCCCCAAATTCCCAGGGAAAAGGCCCACTATGTTCCCTCCTGCACTTTCCATTCAGTATCTGGTAGGAACACGATTATTTCGATTATTTCCCCAGTCATTCCTCTCCCCCTGGTTCCCAGGCTGCGGCTTGGCAGGTGCCTGCTGTTCTCCGCCTCTTGAGCCAGACACAAGCCCCAGACACCAGCACGCAGACACACAGTCTCCCAGGGAGCCCCACAGCCTCGGCTTCCCTCGGGGACCAGGGAGAGGGAGGGGCGAGGGCAGGGTGGGCTCCCCCACACACCCGCCCAGGCTCCCCCTGTGAGCTGAGCTGGGCTGGGTCAGCCCCGGGGGAGGAACCCACTTTCCCAGCCCCCCTCACTGCACCCCCTTCCACCCAGCCCTTACCTCTCCCTGGCAGCTGAGGTCGGGAACTGCCTCCTGCAGCGGGTTTCACACTCCGCCTCGCCCGGGCCCTGGGCGCTGGGCGCTGGGCGCAGGGGCTGGGCTGAGAGATGTGCGGTGTGTAGGAGCGTGTGCGTGCGTGCGTGTGTGTATGTGTGTGTGAGCATGCGGCACTGCTGGCCCCTCACTCACTCACACACGCCTTCCTCCTGACGTCAGGAAGAGCAGGAGGGAGGGACTGGGGCGGGAATTTGTACTCCCTGCTTAAAGGGACTGGGGCCCAGACACCACCTCCTGAGTCAGGCTCAGGCTGGGTGATCCAGTAGCTGCGTCTCCCAGGGCCCTAAAGCTTCTTTTTTTTGGAAAGTGGCTTTTATTGCTAGGCCAGGGTATAATTTGCCCTGCCAGGTGGGAGTAACTGCTGAGGAATGCAGGGGAGGAAGAGCTGGGGCAGCTTGCAATCCTGCCAATTAGAGGGCAAGTGGGGTGATGAGTGTGTGTGTGTGTGTGTGTGCGCGCGCGCGCGCGCTAGGGGGGCTGCGGGGTGGGGGTTGAGTCTGAGAGGATGAGAGCAGAGAGGGCCCAGAGGGTACTCCAGACAAGGGTGGGGTGAGCTGGGACCTTCTGAGTGTCTGTCCTCTGCCCTCCATTAGCACCAACGCTGTGCTTGGGTCTGCCCCTTACCTGACTCTGAGATCCCCGTGAGTGAGTGAACGTTGGCAAGTTAGAGGAATCCGAATCTTTCTCAGTGGGCCCTTGAGCTATTTCTATTAAACTGAATTGAAGAGGACCATACGGGAGGGAGAAGCTTACTACACACCCCTCCCCACAGCCGGGGAGTCTCTCCGCCCGTCCTGGCGAGATCCTGGGTTTCCACATCACACAGGCCTGGTGTGAATCTCAGCGCCAGCACTTTCAAGCTGTGTGACCTTGGGCAAGTCTCTTACTACTCTGATCCTCCACAGCTTGGTCTATAAAGTAGGGAAGAGAGGGCCGTTGGAGGCTCAAGTGCAATAAGCCCTGGGCGGTATGGAGGCCTCCACAAAGGGGTTTCTCTTCTTCCCTCAGCCTCAGCTTGGAAAGAAGAAAGCCTTTCCCTCCTATACTCAGTACTACTGAGGCAGGCTCGCACTTTCAAAAGAAGTCTTGCCCAGCCGGCGTGGCTCAGCAGTTGAGCATAGACCTAGGATCCAGGAGATCGCGGCTCAATTCCCGGTCAGGGCACAGGCCCAGGTTGCGGGATCGATCCCCAGTCCAGGGCGTGCAGGAGGCAGCCGATCAATGACTCTCTTATCACTGACGTTTCTGTCTCTGACTCCCTCTCCTTTCCCCTCTCTGAAATCAATAAAGACAAATTAAAAAACAAAAAAAAAGAGGGGGGAGTTAAAAGAGAAACAATCATGAAAAATAAAAAGAATGAATAAAAATAGCCATAAGGTGCACTGAGGGCGCCCCCTTGTCAGGTGACCTGCTCTGCCCTCACCTAAAGCTCACACCAGCCCAACACTTCATTATCGTCGCCCCTATTTTGCTGAAACAGAGGCTCAGACAGGAGGGGCGACTTGCCCACGTTCATCACCTGGTTAGAAGGGTGTTGGAACCCAGGCATCCAATGTTCTCACATACTCTGCCCTTCCAGGACCTCCCAGAATAATTAGGCACACAGTCCAGGTTTCTGAGAGAGATGGCCTTACATGCCCCTGCTGCTCCCTGAGGCCCAGAGCTCTGACTCTATTCTGCCGGCCTGACGACCTGCCCAGAGGAACCTTCCCTTTTTAATGTCCTTCCTTCCTTGCCTCCCTCTCCTCCAAAGACAACACTGTAATGGTTTTCATCGCCGCGTCTGCTTCTGTGAGGGCACAGGCTGGGAGAGACGAGGGGCTCCCCGGAGTCACCCGGCTCAGTAGTGACCGTGACAGAGCTGGAGCCTGAGTGCCAGGCTCCGGACTGGGGCCCTGGTGGACATCTGAGATTTTCACTGCCCGCCACCCACTGTCCCTTCTGCTGGGAACTGCTTCCCTGTGCTCGCCCGGGGTCTCCCCTCTCCTCTCTCTTGGTCCACAGGACCCCTGGCCCAGGCCCAGTGAGAACCAGCACCAGGACTTGGGCTGGGATCTCGATGCCGAGGCTCGCTCTTCTCCCCGCAGCTCCTGAGTTGGTGCAGCTCTGGCCTTGGGCTGCTGGTGTCCGAGCACCGGATTACAGACCAGAGGGCGGGCAGAAGGGAGTTCTCCAAGGTGATGAGGCTTAACCTGAGCCCCAGCTGACCAGAAGGAGCCAGTCTTGCCACAACTAGAGAGATGACACTGTGGGAAGGGGGACAGCCGGTCGGAAGACATTCAGATGGGCTGGAGCTTTGGGGTGGCCTGGAGGCCAGGAGGCAGGGCCTGGAGGGCTGGATCTGAGAGGGCTGAGGCCGGGTGGGCTGTGACCGGCCCGGGGTCCGACCCCCTGCAGCGCCCAGCCTTATTTCTCCCAGGCTCCTCCCTACCAGCTGGCGAGCATGTGCTGGGGCTGCCAGGCAGCAGGAGGCTGTGAATGAAGGAGCCGGCGAGGTTTGAAGTACATTATGACTGTTCTACAAGTAGGAGAGGGCACAGCTGTTCATTCAGGAAATGAGCAGCCCTTGGCAGCACCCACCCACCCACAAACAGCGAGTAACAAAGAAATCATCTGCTTCAAACCAGGGGCTCTGCCGTGGAGGCTATTTTTGTGAAAAGCTGAGAATTCAAATGCTCATCTTCTTGAAAGCCTCCTTCATCCTGGAGAAGCTTAAGAGGTGAGTCAGAGGAGAGGCAAGCGGCCCCTGAATCCTCTGGATTCCACCTGAATTATAATTCCCGCTCCATTACTGACCATCAGCCCACCAACGGGGGCCAATGCTGGACACCCACGGCGTTGGATCCACATGATCCTTTAAGGGACATACACCCCTAAGGTGTTGGTGCCACTTGACAGATGTGGAAACTCAGGCACAGAGAGGTTGAGAAACTTGCCCAACATCACACAGCTGGTAACGGAGCTGGGATTAAGATGCAGGAATTCTGCCTTTGCAGTGCATTTCGGTTCCCTGGATGCCTGTCTCCTCCACCGTGGCAGCCATCGCCAGCCCTTGCTAATGATTTTGCCTAGGAAATCAGAGTGGTCCTTCCTTCTTCCCTCCCTGTCCCCAGCCATTTTCTCCAATCTGACTACTGCCCTTTTGCTAGATAGTTTTCTGCAGCTCTGATCATGTGCTCTGTTAATTTGTTTATACATGTGACAAGTATTTATTGACTACCTACTATGTGTCAGATGACCTAGGCTCAAATTATAGCAGTAAATAAGACAAGCACCTGCCTTGAGTTTACAAAACTGTCTCATCTAGGAAGAGACATAGCACCAAGTACACAAGCAAATAAATATATAATCGCAAGTTTGAAAACAGCAAATTTGAGACCAAGGAGATTAGTAGGGCTAGTCCAGCTGCTGAAATAGAGGGCTAGATACAAATGCTCTGAGAAGGGGCCCTGTAAGCTGAACCCAGAGGATGAGGAGGATCCAGCCTTGTAAAAGCCAGGGGAGCACCTTTCTCCCCCTCTTCTTCCCCCCAGACACATTACCTTTATCTTTCTCCTAAGCTCTAAAAGCTCTTCTTCTGCCTCTGTAACTCTGAATAAGCTTTCTCTTATTTAAAAAAAAAAAAAAAAAAAGGCAGGGAAGAGTGTTTCCTAAGGAGGGAACAGCATGGGTGAACTCCTAGAGGCAGGAAAGAACTCTGCCTATTCAAGGAACTTAAGGTCACTGGTGTGGCTAGAGCAGGGAGGAGGGGAAGGGCCGGGGCCTTATTGCGTAGGGTCGGAGGGCCTGGCGAGTGGTCCTCTCCTCACCTGAGATGAAATAAGGAGGCGTGACATGCTTCTGCCTCTAGTGTCACTGGCAGCCCTGGCAGTCCCACCTAGGGTAATGATCCATGCGGCCGGGGGAATGAGGCAGCACGGGGGGGTCCCCTGGCCTGGACCTCCCCTGGACCCTGCCCAAGAACCTGGGGCTGGAGTGGCCGGGCAGATCCCCAGGCGACTCCGGGCTGGGCTGGGCTGGGAGCCAGGCTGCGTCAGCCATCTGTCCACACACACGTACACTCAACAGCCCCGGCTGTGGGCCTCCAGCCTGCTCAGCGCTGGGGGTTCACCTCCATCCTCCCTTCCTTCTGAGCGAGGCTGTCTCTGAACCTGACTGGCTGCAGTGGCAGTCCCTGTCACAGTATCCATGTGGCCTTTCTCTCTCTCTTATATATCTTTATTGATTTCAGAGAGGGAAGGGAAAGGGAGAGGGAGAGGGAGAGGGAGAGGGAGAGGCATCAATGATGAGAGAGCCATTGATCGGCTGCCTCCTGCACGCCCCCAACTAGGGAATCGAACCTGCAACCCGGGCATGTGCCTTGACCAGGAATTGAACTCTGACCTCCTGGTTCATGGGTCCATGCTCAACCGCTGAGCCACGCCAGCAGGGCATGTGACCTTTCTTGACAGCAATGCTTGACATGATCTCCGCATCTGTTTGTTCCCCATTTTTTGTTGGGGCCCCATGCACAGTAGCCCCAACAAGTGCCCGTTGACTTTCTGCCCTTTGTTTAGGCTCAAGCCAAAACAGACAGCAACATCCTGGGACACTTTGTTTAGGTCCCTTCTAGAGTCACCATTTCCAGTGGCACTTCAGCTGTGCCCACCTCCATGGGGGGGCGGTTTAAAAGTGCCCCACTGAGAATGGTTCCTGGGCCTGTTCCGACACTGTCAAGGGCCTCCTTCTGTCCTCAGGGCCTCCACTCCCTGAGAGCCTGGAGAAAGTCCTCGCTGGGCTCAGAATCGAGGAGATGGGGACCTACCCTGAAGGCCTGGCTAGTTTCCATTCTTAATGGAGATGTTTTTCTCTGCTTTGACTGCTGGAAAGCTGAGGGCCACTCTTCCACCTCCCAGCAAGTTTTCAGGACCATGCC